CCCGGGATCCCAGGGCTGCTCCGAGCCGGGGCACAGCTGATTTTAACAGGCTGGTAAAAGCACTGAGCTGGTTTTTAGGCTCAGAAAATGAAAGAGGGGAAAGGTTCTTCCCCCAGACAGGCTCCCCAGGTCCCGGCCCCGCGGCTGCCAGAGCTCCAGGGGCGTTTGGACAACGCTCTCAGGTGATAAATATAAGAAAACTCTCATTTTTTACAGCTGTAAATGGCCATTCCAGGTCGTGGGACAGCTGAAATATTGGGAATAGCACGAGGCTCTCACAGGACTCACCTTCAGCGAGCGGCAGGCCAGTCCTTTCAGGCTCCTCAGCATTTTTCTGCAGGGACACAAGTGGATATTTTAGGGGGTTTTATTGTGCTTAATGTGCCTTATGCTGGGAGAGAATAGTTCCATGTCAAGGCACACAAATAACTCAGGCCAAGGGTCAGATGCTCTGCAGCCATCCAGGGGTCAGCATCGTTTGCCTGATAAAAACCACCCCATTAATTACACGGCCCTTTCTCCAGAAATGCATTTGCACAAAAAAACCCCTCCGTTTCTAAATCAAGGTATTTCCCTTTTTTTCCAGAAATACAGTTACCAAAAAAAAACAAAAAAAACCTTAATTTGTGAATCAAGGTATTTCATTCATCTGCTGAGGAGAACAGAGTCTTTTGTCAGGGAAGGAATTTTGGCTGCAGCTAAAAGAAAAGTTAAAAGATGTAAGAGCTGCAAGGGTGATTACTGTGAAGAAACTGGAGTAATGCAGACACTGAAGATGCTTCTAATTTTTTTTAACTTTCTATCCATTTTTTAAACTCTCTGTCAATTCTTTTAAACTTTCTCTTAATTTTTTACACTTTGTCCTTTTTCTTTAAATTTCTATCCATCTCTTTCAAACTCTGTCCTTTTTTTAAAACCTTCTATCCATTTTTTCAAACTTTGCCCTTTTTTTTTAAACTTTCTCTCCATTTTCATAAAACTTCCTGTCAATTTTTTAAACTTTATGTCCATTTTGTAAAAAACTTTCTGTCCATTTTTTAAACTTTCTGCCCAATTTTTTAAACTCCCTGGTAATTTTTTTAACTTTCTTTCCATTTTTTTTTAGAACTTTGTCTTTTTTTTTTTTTAATTTTCTGTTAATTTTTTTTTAACTGTTAAGTTTTATAAACTTTCTGTCAATTCTTTAAAACTTTCTGTTCATTTTTAAAGGTTTTTTTAAACATTCTGACAGAATCCTCGAGCGCCTCACGCAGCTCTGGGGGCTCTCCTGGGATTTTTGTGTCCCTGGGAGAGGAGATAAAAACTGCAGCCACTTTTTGAGTGCACCTGGATCAGGACAAGAACTGCAGAGCACAAGGGGGACACCAGGGAAAAACTAAATACAGGGAATAAAGAAAAATACAGGGAACAAAGAAAAATACAGGGAATAAAGAGCCTGTGCTCTTTATTATTTATATTATTTATATTATTTATATTATTTATATTATTTATATTATTTATATATATAAATAGAATATATATATTTATATATTCTCTGTTTCTTATATGATAAAGATTTCTATATTAAAAATATATTTATATATTCTTTATTATTTATTTTATAAGGATTTCTATATGGAAAAGATATATTTATATATTCTTTATTATTTACATTTTTTAAAAAGATTTCTATATGAAAACGTATATACTTATATATTCTTTACTATTTATATTATTTATTATATTTCTATATGAAAACATATATATTTTGTGTTCTTTATTATTTCCATATATGAATATATATTTATATATTCTTTATTATTTATATTACACATGAACATATTTCTATATTCTTTATCATTTATATTAATTATACATGAACATATTTCTATATTCTTTATCATTTATATTACTTATACAAGGATATATTTCTATACTCTTTATCATTTATATTACTTATACATGAATATATTTCTATATTCTTTACCACTTATATTATTTATATATTTATATATATTTATATATATATATTTATATATACGTATTTATATATACATATTTATATATATATATGTATGCATTCTTTATCACTCATTTAATTTATAAGGATTTCTATAATTTAAATTTAAAGAACTAAAAACCACGCCGATAACTCCCCCCCCAAAAAAAAAAAGGCGAATTTTCCGCCATCAACCCGCAACCTCAAAAATTAAAATACAATAACCCCCCCCGGTTGTTGCGGAGTCTCTGCCGAGCCCCCCCCGGGCCCCCCCCGGTCCCTCCGGTCCTCCCGGTGCCCCCCACGTGCTTCCCGCTCCCCCTTCCCGGGACCCCCCCGGGGCTCCGGGAGCGCCCCGGGAGGGGCCGGGGGCGGCCCCGAAGGGTCCCCGAAGGGTCTCCGAGGGGTGGCCGAGGGGGGCTGGCGGTGCCCCCGCACTCACCGGACCCGCCGGTGCCGGAGCCCCCTCCCGGTGCCGCCCCCGGGCTGACGCGCGGCCGCTACGGGTGGCTCGGAGGGACAGCGAGGGCGTGGCCGGGGAGGGGCGTGGCCATAGCGGGCGTGGCCGGGTGGGCGTGGCTCTCTGCGCCCGTTTCCGAGCGGCGTTGAAATGTTGATCGCGTTAAAATGTTGATCGCGTTAAAATGTTGATCGCGTTAAAATGTTGATCGCGTTCATTGGCCGAATTTCGGTTCCTCCGCGAGCCGCGCGGCTCCTCAGTGTCGGGTTTTTTGCGCGTTCTTGGTTCCGTTTCCGGCTTTTCGCCGATTTAATCAATAATTGAAGCCGCGGGATCACGGGATGGGGCAGGTCGGGAGGGAGCTGGTCCCACCTCCCTGCTCAGGCAGGGTCATCCCAGAGCACACGGCACAGGACCGTGTCCAAGATGGCCCTGGAATATCTCCAGGGACAGAGATTCCACACCCTCCCTGGGCAGCCTGTTCAGCCCTGGGGCACTGCCCAGGGAAGTTCTTCCTCGTGCCCAGGTGGAACTTCTGGGCATCAGTTTTGTGTCCTGTTCTTGGGCAGCCCCGAGCAGAGCCTGGTCCATCCCTGCAGGCACTGACACGCCCTGGGGAGGTCCCCTCTCGGTGTCCCCTGGTCACAGAGATGCTCCAGCCCCTTCAGCATCCTCACAACCTCCCCTGGACCCGCTCCAGGAGCTCCACATCCCTCCTGTCATGAGGGGAACTGGCCCCACACTCCAGCTGTGCCTCCCCAGGGCTGGGCAGAGGGGCAGGATCACTCCCTGACCTGCTGGGAATTCTCTTCCTGATGCCCCCCAGGGCCCCCCTGGCCTTCTCGGCCCTGAGGGCACAGTGCTGGCTCAGGGACAGCTTGTTTGTCATTTCCTGAGGAGTTGTCCAGCTCCTCAGTGTCAAATTGTTCATGTCTACTGCAAAAGCTGTTCATGGGTTCGTTGCCAGGTTTTCAGGTATTGACAGCTTAAATCTGTGCTTCTGCAAAGGCTTTGCATTCCATAGAGTTGTAGAAACATGGAATGGTTTGGGTTGGAAGGAATCTTGAAGATCATCTCATTCCACCACCTGTCATGGGCAGGGACACCTTCCACTGGCCCAGGTTGCTCCAAGCCCTGTCCAACCTGGCCTTGGACAGTCCCAGGGATCCAGGGGCAGCCACAGCTTCTCTGGGCAACCTGTGCCAGGGCCTCCCCACCCTCACAGGGAGGAATTTCTTCCTAATATCTAATCTAAACCTACTCTCTGTCAGTTTGAACCCATCCTCCCGTGTCCTGGCCCTCCAGGCTTTGGTAAATGGTTTTGCCTCATCTTTCCTCTAAGATCTCTGCAGGCCCTGGAAGGCCACAATCAGGTCACCCCAAAGCTTCTCCTCTCCAGGCTGAACAATCCCAGTTCTCTCAGCCTGCCCTCCCAGCAGAGCTGCTCCAGCCCTCTGATCCGCTTGGTGCCTCCTCTGGACTTGCTCCAAAGAAGGAATTTCCATTCTGCTGTTGGTATTTCAGTTGTGGGGTTTTTTTTTGTTTGTTTGGATTTTTTGTATATCTTGCTGCAATACAGTTTGTTATTAATTTCTCCTATTTGTGACATACAATGTTTTAAAACTCTAGTAAATGGACTGTATTAATTCCTATCAGACATTGTGAGCATCATTCCATCATTCCCAAGATAAGAAGGACATGGAACTGTTGGAGCAAGTCCAGAGGAGGTCATGAAGTTGATAAGGGGGACTGGAGCACCTCCCGTAGGGAGTCAGGCTGGGAGAGCTGGGAATGTTCAGGCTGGAGAAGAGAAGGTTGTGTGGAGACCTCAGAGCACCTTCCAGGATCTGAAGGGGCTCCAGGGAAGCTGGAGAGGGACTGTTCATCAGAAACTGGGGTGACAGGACAAGAGGGAATGGCTTCAAACCGAAAGAGAGGAAATTCAGGATAGATATGGGGAAGAAATCCTTCCCTGTGAGGATGGAGAAACCCTGGCACAAGTTGCCCAGGGAAATTGTGGATGCCCCAACCCTGGCAGTGTGCAAGTTGAGCTTGGACAAAGCCTTGAGCAACGTGGTCTAGTGGAAGGTGTCGCTGCCCATGGTAAGGGGATAGGTTGGCACGAAATGAACTTTACAGCCCATTCCAACCCCTTAACAGTGTATAATTCTGCGACTCCAGTTTCACAAAAGGCCTTTTAACACTCCAACTCACTAGCACATGTGACCCTCAAGGAAAGATGCCTTTATGCGTCTACACATCCCCCTTACAGGTCATTTGATGTAAAAAACCCACCTTTTTTTCCCTCCCTTATTTTCCTTTTTGGAGAGTCTTTGCCGGGGGGCGTGGCCGGGGGCGTGGCCACAGGACGGGAGGGGCGTGGCCTAATGCACAAGGGGCGCGGTCTGGCGTGCGAGGGGCGTGGCCGACGAGGAAAGGGGCGTGGCATGGCTCGGGGGGGCGTGCCCGGCGCGCGGGGCGGGGGGGGGGCGTGTCCGTGCGCTCGCTCGCGGCGGAGCAGGAGCCGCCGCCGGTTCCGCCGCCTCGGCTCAGGCCCCGCCGCGGCGGCCGCTCGGTCCCGGTGCCCCCCCGCCCCCGCCCCGGCCCCTCCGCCCGCGCCCGGGCGGCCGCGGGGATGCGGCGCGGAGCAAGCCCGTGCTCGGCCCCGGCCGCGCTGCCGCTGACACGGTGAGGAGGGGAGCGGGGCGGGCGGGCGCGCGCGGGCGGGCGGGGACTGGGGACCGCCTCAGGCCCCGCGGCCCCGAGGGGGAGGGGAGGCGCGCCGGGAGCCGCCGCGGGGCCGCCCCGCATCCCCCCCCGGTGTCCCCCCGGTCCCCGCGCGGCACCCCCGCGGCACCCCCGCGGCGGGGCGCGGCGGCGGGCGCGGGGCATCCCCGTTGGCGGCGGCGGGGGATCCCCGGGGGCGGCGCGGGGGGGGATCCCCGGCAGGGCCCGGAGCGCGGCGCGGAGCGGGGCGGGCGGTCCCTGCGAGCCGCGGCGGGGCCGGGGGGCTCTGACAGGCGGGGAGGGACCCGGGGGTCCCTGACAGGGCCCGCGGCGAGGGGCGGGGGATCCCCGCTGGCGGCGGGGCCCGCTGACAGCGGCGGCGGCCGCGGGGCCGGGGCAGCCCCCCGGGGGTGCGGGCCGGGGGCGCGGGGGGCTCGGGGGGTGGGATGTCACCCTGACAGCGGCCCCGGGGGTCCCGCCGGGCCCCCCCCCCGTGTTCCGGGGAGCGGGGCTGTGCCCGCGGCTCCGCGCCGCCGAAGTTCGGTGTTTCCCCGGGCACGGCCCCGTCCGCGCCGCCGAAGTTCGGTGTTTCCCCGGGCACGGCCCCGTGCGATGGGCGGGGGATGCGGGGGGAGGCAGCCGGGGGGCTCCCTGACACATACCGCTGTTATTTTATGTATTTTTGGGTTTCCGGCTGGTTTACTGGGTCAGTGGCTTGCAGGCTTTCTCCTCCTCCTTCCCCAAAATCACACTCCTGGAATTTTACTCTCATTGCATTACCAATCCTGTTTTAGCTTTATTCACCCTTAATTTGGGATTGGGTGGTTGAGCCTCCCATCTCCACCTTGCCCATCTCTCAGATCAGAAGGCAAAATGTGTTCCTGCCCTTGCCTCTCTCTCTCTCTCTCTTCCCCCGTGGTCTCCTGACTTTCTAACTCCTGGCTTTGGCCCTGGTTTGTGGTTCTTTGCTCCGTTAATTACAGAACTGGGAGCTACTTGGAATGTGGGTTTCCATCCGATGGCCTCGGGACACGCATTTGCTCTCCTGGTAGTTGAGTGTTGTCAGGAGCCAGGAAGGGAAGCTGGAGGCAGTGGGAGCTCTGGGAGCAGGGGCAGAACCTGTGGCTTTACCTTCATCCACTGAAATATCCTTAGTTTTCGTTTCCAGGGGCACCTTCTTTCCCCGTTTATTTTGACTGCCCTCCTTGCTCTAATATGTGCTGCACCTGCAAAGGCAGGTGTTTTCCAGGAATGTGGGGGTTTGGGGTGAATCCTGTTTCCCATGGCCATCCTGCAGGACTTTGGGACCATCCCTGGTGCCTCTGTGGGAACGGGGAAGTTCTGGCAGCTGCTTGAACATATGGGGAGAGATGGGCTCTAAAATCATCAGCTGTCTGCCTGCTTCAGTTCTTACTCAAAATTAAAGCTTTTCCAAACTGTCTGAGAGTATAAGAGATTTTTTTTTTTAAGGGGTTTAACTAATTTTGGTTTTAAAGACAAAATTACCACAACTTCTTTTTGGACTTGAGTTACATTTCTTTGCTACAGGCAGTCAGCAGTCCCCTAAAAAGCACTTTATGTTGGAGTGATAATAACCAGCGACATAATTTGAGTTACAATTTACAAAAAGAAGCCTTTTTTTCCCCCCCCCAGTTGTTTTCAGAAGTTTAAACTGTCCCAGAGGGTACAGAAAGCAGTTTAAACCTTTGGTGCACGTTGGTATAAAAGGCAGTTGTCACGAGAGAAAAGTAGCAATAGCACACAGAGTTACTGGATTACAGGTGGTTTTAAACGGATATTGTTGTCAGAGGGATTGTTGGCTTTTTATTTTTAAAATGCGAATTTCTGGTGCTGTTGGAAGGCAAACACATTCTCCTGCTCCAGTGAGTCCCATCTCCAGCTTTCAGAGGGAAAGGAACCTGTCAGGAGAGCTGCTGGTTATTCTGTGATAGTTATTCTGTGACAGGACAGTCTGTGTTGGTCCCTGGCTCTCTGGCCATCACCTGTGGCACAGGAGGGGCCATCCTGGCCCTGGGAATAACCAAGGGCCCTGTCAGGAGTGGAGGGACACAGCAGGCAAGGATTTCACCTTCGTCTTTGCCTGGATGGGTAGAAATAGCTGGGTTTGTCCCGAAGAACCCCCTGGAAGGCACTGGATGCAGAGAGCTCCCCGGGAGCTCCTGACTCACACGGGAGCAGCTGGGATAATATTTTAGGAGGATTCCCAACCTGACTGCTGTTGGGACTCGCAGCCTAAGGCAGGAGGAACCTTTGCTCCCGTCAAACGTGGGCTGGTTATGCAGATTTTAGCAATTCCGCGTCCATTTGCATGTGAATAGCAAAACAAGGGAATTGCCCCGGCGCCTCCGAATTCCACGAGGTGCTTCCAGACTTCCAGTCAGGTCGGGTGTCAGCTGGAGCCGGCTGAGGAGAAACACTATCTGTGCTTCCCAAGTTTTCCTCCCACTGGAGAATGCCTGCAGGGTGTCATCATGTCTGTCCTCTGCCTGCCTTCCCACAAAACCCTGTCCTGCTCCGGCTGCTCTCCCTGCCTCTGCTCCCAGCACTCCCGTGGAATATTCTTCCTGACAAGGCCGGGTCCTCTGGGATTTCTGCCTGTCCAAAACACTCCCAGCAGGAGCTGCTTGGGAAGTTATTTTATTTGTCACCTCCTGTAACACAAGCAGGAACTTTGTTCCTGACAAGTGTCTCCATCTCTGAACATTTTCAGGGGCCTCCAGCAGTGACTGCTCAGGGAATGTGATGTGGGGAAATACTGTCAGCTTTTATCACACTTTTTATTCTCTTTTTGAGAAAACTTCTGAGTGTGGTAACTGCCTCCCACAGCAGGGGAAATAAGACAAGGAACATGGGAAGGGATTGTGGGAGGCCATGGAGTTTACTGGTAATAGTCTGGGATTTCAGACACTCAGCTGAGTTGGTTTTAGTGTCTCTTGGAGCTGAAACAATGAAAAGAACCAAAAGAAAAATACCTTCTAAATATGAAATGACGCTGTGTTTTTATGGACGAAAACAGCAGCAAGAATGAAGTCCTGGGTTGATCAGAGGGGAAAAATCTCAGTTAATATTGCTAAAGGGGTGTGGGGGAAACATCTGGGATCTGGCAGTGGAAAATCAACCCTTAGCATTTTCTTTCTGGAAGAGCAAGGGATGAGAAGAACAGGAATCTCGGGATGTGACACCAGGGGAATAAGGATGAAACCCAGGTATTAAAACTGTGTGTGGCACCAGAGGAATCTTTAATGAGCACCACGGTGGCACGTGTCAAAACTAGGATGTTAAAACACCTCCTAGTTAATTTTTTGAGGGGAAGAACAATTGCAGGAGGGATTTGAGATCTGCAGAACCTGCATGATTTGCTTTGCAGGGAGATGGTCAGGACGTGTCTTGCTCCTCACTTGTGAGATTTGGTGCCTGGGTGGTTTTCAATCCAGCAAAAGTTTTGTTATCCTGAGATCCCCCGGATGCAGGGTAATTCAGAACAAGCCCTGGAACTTCACACAGTGAGGGTGGAGACACTGATAAGTACCCTACAGCACATGGTTAAATGTGAGAGTTTTAGGCCTTGAAAGCCCTAAATCATCAAGAGTTTTCAGGGTAAATTCGTGCAGGCTTTTTTTAGCTGCCTCTGAACCGTGGCTGTCATCAGTTGGCTGCTCATTTGCTTTGACATCCACGAGATTTTTAAGGCACAACCTGCAGGAGGAGTGGAAGGGATCCTGGAGGAGTGGAACAGATCCTGCAGGAGGAGTGGAAGGGATCCTACAGGAGTGGAAGGGATCCTACAGGAGGGAAGGGATCCTGCAGGAGGAGTGGAAGGGATCCTACAGGAGTGGAAGGGATCCTGGAGGAGTGGAAGGGAGTGGAAGGGATCCTGCAGGAGTGGAAGGGATCCTGCAGGAGGAGTGGAAGGGATCCTACAGGAGTGGAAGGGATCCTACAGGAGTGGAAGGGATCCTACAGGAGTGGAAGGGATCGTGAGGGAGGAGTGGAAGGGATCCTGCAGGAGGAGTGGAAGGGATCCTGCAGGAGGAGTGGAAGGGATCCTGCAGGAGGAGTGGAACAGGTTCTGCAGGAGTGGAACAGATCCTGCAGGAGGAGTGGAACAGATCCTGCAGGATGGGGAGAGCCAGGCACGAGGAATGTGAGGAGTGACACAGAGAAAGTGAGACAAGAACACAGCCAGTGGTGTCAGTGGGGAACAGGAGCAAGGGAAGAACCAAAACACAGCCCTGAACCCGTTGGAGGCAGGGCCAGGGGGCTGGAACTTGCTGAGGCAGGGAAGCAGCAGCATCCCTGGGATCCAGGGAGGTGAGACCTGAGAGACAGGCACTGTTCTGTGAATTCCTGGGGTAACTGAGGAGTGGGAGAAGATTACAGTGATCCAGGCAAAATGGTGATTAGGGCCAGGATTAGCAGTTTTGTGGTCTGTGTGGAGAGCAATTAATGGATAAATAAATGACCTGCTCTGTGTTTCTGGGAGCCATCAATTTAGTGACTTTGTTTCTGGGATGGTCCCTGGTCCTGTGTTGCCACAGGGTGAGATGTGAGCACAGTTCTGCTTTAATTCCCACCGTGCACTTTGGGCCTTGCAGTTCCTGGGGTCAGGGTATGAGTGTAATCTTGCTGTTGGTTTCATAATTTAAGCTTATTAATTAATTTTATTTGTAATAAAATGACTGAAGTGTTGTTGCTGCTCTGCACCACGGTCCCTAGAGAAGGAAACAGTTGTGTGAACACGGATTTGACAGTTCCATGAAGGATTGTCCCCTCTCTTGGACTCGAATAATACAAATTCAGGCATTAACTCAGGGTTGTTTTACTGCTGGGCATCAGCATGTGTGAAAAAGCCCATTTTTGGTGACGTGGTGAAGCCTCTTGGACTGGACATTGGGCCTTGATCTGAGCAGTGCCACTAACTCACCTTCTATATCCACGTCACACTGTTCTCCCAATGTTTTTCTACTTGTAAAACGGAGATTTTATCTGATTTCCTCTGGTCTTACGAGCAGTAACAGGGGGTTTGATTGCTGAGGATGTGCTCAGTTGAGGAGCCCGAGCTGCAGATGGAAACCATGTGGGTAATGAGCCCAGAACACGTGGAAAGGAGTTTGTTTTGGGGCAGCCTGGTTTTCCAGCAGGTTGCCTTGGGTGTTCTCAGCAGCTTCTCTTGTGCCCCCACTAATCCTGGCAGCTGTTCTCCCAACCTGAGCCCACTGCAGTTGCCTTGGTGCTCTCCAGGATCACCTTTCACACTCCTGATCCTTCCCCTTGTGTTCCAGAGCCACCCCAAATCCACCTCCTGCAGCTGCTTCCCTAATCCCTGTCTGGCCAGGAGGGCTGAGCTCCTTGAGACCTTTCTGTGAAACTCATTTTGGGGTTGATTGAAACCCTTGAAATCTCACTGCTCACAGTTGAGCCCCAGTGACTGTGTGGAGGGTGAGGACAGAAACCAGGCTGCTTTGGTGCCTGGGATGCACTTTTCAGCACATCAGACCTGTTTCTGACCTATTTCACTTAAAAATGATTAAGGTATTTAAATGCTGAAGATATTTAAGCACTTTCTGCTTTGAATGCCCCTAACAAAAATATCCTTCCAGGACCTGAAGGGAGCCTGCAAGAAAGAAGAGGGAATTTTTACAGGGGCTTGGAGTGACAGGACAAGGGGGAATGGCTGCAAACTGCCAGAGGGCAGGGTTAGGTGGGATATTGGGAAGGAATCCTTCCCTGTGAGGAAGGCACAGGCTGCCCAGAGAAGCTGTGGCTGCCCCTGCATCCCTGGGAGTGTCCAAGGCTTTGTGTGTGTGTGTTCAGGAGTCTGTGGCTTGTTTTTAAACCGATGCCCACGTGGGTTAAGCTCAACTTTCCTGGTGGCTCAGATGATTAAAATCAGAATATCTCTGGAGTTTGGATGCTTTCTCATGGGGTTCATTCATGTCCTTCCTTAGATGCAGCTCATCCAGTGGGTCCAGACCAAGAGTAGCTGGGCTTTGGTTATAAATGGAAAAATTGCTTTGATGATCAATATTAAAGTCCTTAACTGTTGTTTGAAGTGTCCTGTGGATGAATTGGAAATTATATTATAATATTCCCGCACTTTTGATTTTTCACTTATCATTTAAAAGTGTTTTACAGATAAATTGTGGTTTTGAAGTAGGTGACCAGCGGGGTTGGTGTCTTGGAACATCAGCTCGTCTGAAATATAATTGTTTGCTTTCTGATTGGTTTAAACCTTAATTTAATTTCTGCCAGGAAATCAAAGTTTACTTCTGTCTGCCTTTCTCCTCCTTGCAGAGTGAAAGATGCTGACTGCCAGTAGTGGAACAGCTCCTCTGAGGAACATATCCCTGTAAAATCTTCCCTAAAAATCACCCGGAGGCAAATATTCCGCCTGTGATGGACCCTCGGAATACTGCTATGTTAGGCTTGGGTTCTGATTCTGAAGGGTTTTCTGGGAAAAGCCCCTCTGTGGCAAACCTTGGCACGTTGGTGGGCAAGGGGGAAGCGGAGCCCGAAGGTTGCAGCAAGGACGAGGAGGACGGGAAGAAGAAGGGCCGGGAGGGGGAGAATGGCAAGAGCGAGGCCCTGAGCGAGGCCCAGCAGTTCTCCGTGAAGGAAACCAACTTCTCCGAGGGGAACCTGAAGCTGAAGATCGGCCTCCAAGCCAAGAGGACCAAAAAGCCTCCCAAGAACCTGGAGAATTATGTCTGCAGGCCTGCCATAAAAACCAGCATCAAGCAGCCAAGGAGGGCTCCCAAGAGCGGGAAGATGACGGATGAGAAGAGCGAGCACTGTCCTCCCAAACAAGTGAGTGGGGTGGCCCTGGGGTGGTTTGCAGGTCATGGGGCCTTTGAGCTGTGTTGGGAAGCTTCACCCATCATGTGGTTCCGTGTGACCTCTGATCCTGAAGCTTCTGGAGTTAGGAATGGTTTGATTTCGTGGCTGTTGACGGGGGGAAGGTGCTCGTTCAGGGTTCGACACCGTCGTCGTTTCAACAGCAACGAGAGACAATTCCCCTGTCAACTTGAAGTGACATCTCTGGCAAGTGATGGTGTGATTTTTAGTCTCTTTTATAGAAGGAAGTGGAGGTCCTTGGGGGTCTTACCTCTGTTGGGATGGGGTTTGGGTTCCTCTTTTCCTGTTAGAGTCAGTGGGTTTCCTGTCTCTCACCTGTCACTGCCACAAACAGCCCGAGCCGGGTCTGGAAAGCCAAGGAGACTTTTCCAGCTGAGTTACAAACCAGCCTGGTGATACCATGGCTATAAATGGAGTGGCTGGAGGGATGTGCCAGGGGTTTTCCAAAGGGAAGGAGGTAGCCCTGCCTCCTTTTTGTTTGTGTGATCTGCAGGATGTAACAAGTAACAGCAGCAACAGCAGACAGGGAGAACGGGATAAATGGCAAGAATTACAAATAACGTTGCATGGATGCTAAATTTTGGAAGTGTTGGGCTGCAACCTGCTCTTTTTGCCAATACACATGAAGGTTTTGCCAATACAACGTTAGGATGTACCCTTAGGTAGCCCTAGCAGGGGATTCAGCAGGGGAATCCGAGTCCCTGGAAGCTGGAGACCTTCCTTGGGGTGGGATGTCTGTTCCACGGGGCCCCAGGGCTGCAGGGTTTCCATCTCTCCCACCTGTGTCCTGTGCTCAAGGTCCCTTTCAGCCCAACCCCTTCTGGGATTCCGTGATTCCAAGGCATAAACTGTGCCCTGAAAAGACAAGTGTGCTGGATGTAAGGGCTGAACTGGCTTTTTCCAGACTCCACAGTGCAGTTGTGTTGGGTTTTCCCTCCTTGGGAATCAGAGGGGTTTTTCCTCAGCCTGCAGACCAAGAAATTCTCAGAATTTATGTTGCATAACATAAACTGTTGGCAATGGCCTTTATTTCACATTCTCCCAGCTCAGAACAAGCTTATTATTCCTGAGGATTTTTCTGAGTTCCTCTTGAAAAACGCTGGAAGAGCAGATCCCAACTTGTCATTACACTGATGGCTTTTTTTTTTTCCTTCTTTTTTTTTTTTGGTCCAACAGGACCCTGTTGAGGTGAGTTGAGTGTTTGGCCAGCCTGGAATATCCAGCCACTGATTCCTCTTGATGCCTGGGTTCAGGTGGCACTTGCAGCTGCAAATCCCTTCCTCAGGGCAGGGTGAAGGTGAATTAGTCAGGGGAGGGTCAGGTTGTTGGGCTGCTGGACTGGATGGTCCTGGTGGGTCCCTTCCAGCTCAGGATATTCCAGGATCCTCTGGTTCTCCCAGCAAAGAGCACCTTTGCATCTGGAGACTTTCCCATTGCATCAAGAGAGTTTCTACCAGGGAAAATAATCAGGATTTGGATTTGGATGGGGACGGGAGAGATTCTTCCCCCTCGACATCTTTGTTTGTGTACCAGGTTCTCCTTCAGGAGATCCATCCCATTCCCAGTGGAAATCAGAAAGGGAAGCAAATATTAGTGATATTATGTATTTTTATATATATATGTATGTACGTATTTTATATATACATAATATGTATATATATATATTATATATGTGTGTATTTTATATATATGTAAAAATATATATGTATTTTTATATATATATAAGTATATATGTATTTTATATATATAAAATAAGTATATATCTATTATATATATAAAATAAGTATATATGTATTTTTTATATATATAATAAGTATATATGTATTTTATACATATAAAATAAGTATATATGTATTTTTTATATATATATAATAAGTATATATGTATTTTATACATATAAAGTATATATGTATTTCATATAATACATATATTATAAATATATTATAATATGTATACATTATATAATATATTATACATATATTATACCACATATATTATATGTGTTATATATAATACATATATTATGTATCTGATATAATAATATATCACATATAATATATATTATAATCCATTAGTGCTATTATTGATATGTGACACCATTGATACCACCATGGGTTGTTAGAAATGACACCAAACAGTGTCCTGCTGATTCCTGAAAAGGGGCTAGAAGTGTCTGTGTGGAAATAAATGGGAACCATGACTCAAAATATTCCTGTTTTGAATATAATGCCCCAGGGATTTTTTTTTTGTCTTGTTGCCACGAAATAAAGCAAGTTTTAGCTCTGAAAATTACCCTTCAGCGATCCCTAAATCTCTGCTTTCGATGGAGAGGAGGGGAAAGCCAATAAATGACCAGCTCAGAGCCAGGTGTGGCCTCACCTGGAGCTCTGACTCTGAACTTTCCCTTCTTTTGGAGGAGGAATAACTGGAATGAAAATGTAGCCCTTGCAGTGCAGGCAGTGAAGCACTGAGACACACAGAGCAGCAGTGGAATTCCTCTCCTGGGAATGCCAGTGCAGAAATTAAACCAGGAGGAAAATCCTTTGCACTTGCACGTCTGACAGGCTCTTTCTGGAGCTTGGTGCTGACAGGACTGCTGAAACTTGGGGAGTGTTATAAAAATAGAGGGTTTGGCTGCTTGCTGTGAGTGAGGGGAGTCACTTGGAATCCCAGAATCTCTCAGGCTGGAAAAGCCCTCTGGGATCATGGAGTGCAGCCCTTCTGTTCCCAACTAAACCCTGTCCCCAGGTGCCACCTCCCTGGGGGGTGGGGATTCCTCCTCTCCCTGTCCCACTGCCCGACCACCCTTTCAGTGAGGGCAGTTTTTCCCTGTGCATCTACAATCTGTATGTCCAAACGTGTGGACATACAAGTTAATAAATATTTTTTGTGTGTGTGTGGAGAAAAATCACAGGAAGGAGAGACTTAAAAAAGGCCGAGATTCCCAGATGTGAAGAGGAGCAAAATTAGGAGGTGCTACAAGAGCCAAGCAGTATTTAATTTGCTTTTTTGACACTGAGTGTGGAACTGGGATTTCTTCCTTTCAGGAAGTGTCCCGTGGCAGGCAGACATTAAGCCCAGAAGCCTGAGCCTTGAACATAAATGCACATAAATACACATTTTTGACCCTGTTAGGGGGCAAACCCGTGTTTTCCCCGTGCTGGAGGGTGAGTGTGGGCAGGGCCATGGCAGAGGGGCAGTGGTGAAGGTGTAGCAGACAGGAAGAGGTGATAGTAGCAGCCTGTGTAACTCTAACTCCGAGTAGTAACACGGGGCAGCAGGTTGGGACTCGCCCTCCTGCTCCAGCTCCTTATTTCTGGGTGAAAACTGCTGAGTGCAGGATTCTGGAGCTCTCTCTCTTGCCCTGGGTCGTGCAGGGAAAGCTCTGCAGGGAGGTTTGCTGATGAAATCACAGCCACTCAGAGGTAACAAAGCTAAAGGAGGGATTTCTTTTTTTAGTAGCTTGAGAATATTTCCTGCAGCATCTGGGACATAAGTTTGTCTTTTTTTCCCTGGTCCTTCGTTCAAACTTGCTCTTAGAAAAGCCTGCAAAGTCTTGGAGGTGAAAAACAAACAGGAGACACTTCTTTGGGGAATTCTGTGGGATATACTGATGCCACAGTTCCTGTGATTCCTCAGCAAGCTCGTTGGAATTGTGGCCCAAACACTGGCCTGAAGTGCAGCAGCTCAAACAGCGATGGGGAGATCTGTGTGTGCACATAAAAAACCCCTTATTGCAGTTTCATTAACCAGCTGGTTCCTTTCTGGCTGTTCCAGAGGGTGGAAGCCGAGAGGATCTCGGGGTTTGCAGCTTGGTTTTAGGGTGAGAAGTGTGAGTTTGACACCAGGCTGGAGAGGAGACACCCTGCTCATTTGCTCCTCAGCCTTTTGCACACAAGTACCAATCATCATCACAGTAAATAATGATCTAGTAATAATAAACCCTGGGATTGTGCTCTAACAACAGCTGCTTTTTTTAGAATAAAGTCATTTTTTTTGCTGTTGGTGCCTGTGGTGGCTCTGGAATCACAGAATCATTCGAGCTGGAAAGGAGCTTTAAGACCATCAAGTCCAACTGTTCTCCCAGCGCTGCCAAGGCCGCCAGTGATGGATTGTAACTCATTAACAGTTCACATCAAAACTACCTGGAATTTTTATTCCTGAAGCGAGTGGTGCAAGTCTAGAAACCGTGTGTCCACACGGGAGAGTTGGAATTTTCAGTTCAGCTCAGTCCCAAATTTAGAATAATACCAGTCTGATGGAAACTTCCAGGTTTTGTGCAGTTGTTTTGGGCAAGGCTTTTAAGCCAGACAGTTGAACTAAAGGTGGCACAGGAACAGATTGTTTTTTGAAGCACAAAGTGCTTTTTGGTGTAGTGTTATCTCACCCTTTTGAACAGCCTTGCCCCCAGATGAACCATTTCATTCCATCTGAAACCGGAGGAACCTGGAGCAGGGCTGGAAATCTGGGCTAACGAGGCACAGAATTCCAGGAAAACTGGTTTAGGCCATTTTTTTGTGGCTTTGTCACCTGGTTTGGGCTTCAGGTCTGTCCTTCCCACCTCAGGGAGTGCCTGTGTGGGCACCAGGAGTTATCCCAGGGGAGCAGGGCACTTTTCCTGCCCCTGCTGCACTGGGACAGGCCTGGGTTGGAGAGTATTCCAGGGGGAATTCCTGAGTGTTTCCATAGGATTGAAGCTGCCCCAGGAGAGCTGGGCTGAGGGACAGGGTGTGCCTGTGGCCACGGGCTGTGACAGCACAGCTCTGCCCCGGCACTGGGGGCGACCTGACCCCAAAAATCCCCGAGGGAGAGCTTGGATTGGGGACCCAGGGATCCCAGGGACTGAGGGAGAGCTTGGATCAGGGATCCAGGGATCCCAGGGACTGAGGGAGAGCTTGGATCAGGGATCCAGGGATCCCAGGGACTGAGGGAGAGCTTGGATCAGGGATCCCAGGGACTGAGGGAGAGCTTGGATCAGGGATCCCAGGGACTGAGGGAGAGCTCAGATATCAGGGATCCCAGGGATCCCAGGGAGAGCTTGGATCAGTGATCCCAGGGACTGAGGGAGAGCTTGGATCAGTGATCCCAGGGACCCAGGGAGAGCTTGGATCAGGGAGCCAGGGATCAAGGGAGAACTGGGATCTGGGACCCAGGGATCCCAGGGACTGAGGGAGAGCTTGGATCAGGGATCCAGGGATCCCAAAGACTGAGGGAGAGCTTGGATCAGGAATCCAGGGATCCCAGGGACTGAGGGAGAGCTTGGATCAGGGATCCCAGGGAGAACTTGGATCAGGGATCCCAGGGACCCAGGGAGAGCTTGGATCAGGGATCCCAGGGACCCAGGGAGAGCTTGGATCAGGGATCCCAGGGAGAACTTGGATCAGGGATCCCAGGGACCCAGGGAGAGCTTGGATCAGGGATCCCAGGGAGAACTTGGATCAGGGATCCCAGGGAGAACTTGGATCAGGGATCCCAGGGACCCAGGGAGAGCTTGGATCAGGGATCCCAGGGACTGAGGGAGAGCTTGGATCAGGGAACCAGGGATCAAGGGAGAACTGGGATCTGGGACCCAGGGATTCCAGGCACCGAGAGAAAACTGGGATCTGGGCCTAGGGATCCCAGAGACTGAGGGAGAGCTCTGATATCAGGGATCCAGGGACTGAGGGAGAGCTCAGATATCAGGGATCCAGGGATCCCAGGGACCGAGGGAGAGCTCAGTCTCTATCCCACAGGAATATCCTGTGGGATACTCCTCAGTGACAGCAATACTTCCCATTCACTTTAACCAAAAATCTGAATGTTTTAATCATATAGAATTGCAAGAACAAACTTTGTGGGTTATGTTGGAGTTTTTAGTGGTTTTGCAGCGACTGCAACCCCCTCCAAAGGTTACATGCTTTGTTCAAGGTGTCTCTACCTGAAGTTACCAGAGGAATTTTTAAGGAAAAAATTCCCCCCAAAACGTTCCTGTTAATCCCACTGATTGTTAAGTGGATTTATGGCCAAAAAAAACAACATGAAAAAAAATTCCCATGTAAGAATTTTGCCTTTCAAAATGCTGAAAAAGAGCTGTGAACTTTTTTGGCTCCTTTCTGACATCTCAGCAGACGTTTCTCGTTTTGTTTTTTCCGCGTTCTTTGAAATCATTTTCGCTGTGCTTGGAGATTTCCCTCACCCTCAGATGAGAAAGGAGCTCTCCAGGGCACTTGCCTTCAGCTTTCAGAGGCTCCCTGTTTGATGCTAAAGCCACGCTCTCGGAATCCTGGCATCTCGCTCAGATCAAAGCTGGTGTTTGGAAGGGTTTGCTTAGTTATGTGTTTATTATTTAAATATCTGCTCAAACTCCCAAGCTCTTTGTTTGGAGATGGAGGTGGATTGGGAAAAGCAGAGGCACTGTGAGGGCACCACAGGCCCTGGCTGAGGGGTAGCAGAGCACACAGAGGAATCAAAGGAAGAGGGAATATTGTGGATACTCAGCAGACACAGGGCTGAGGAGTTAATTCCCAAGGCAACGTTGAGGTGAATTTTTCAATCCACTGAACAAAGAAGGTTAAAGTTTCCTTCCAAAGTTCTTTTCAGGATCTCAGGCCATGGGAAGGGGGTGTAACTCTCTGAAGGGTGCCCAGCAAGGCTGTTCCAGTGCTGTTCAGTGACTCTCTGCATCCCAGGGATTCCCAGAGGTGGAGGTGGTGGGTGCTGGGAGGTTTTCAGTTTGTGTGTGTTCATGGTTGGAATCACGGAGTGGGTTGGGTTGGAAGGGATTATAAAGCTCATCCAGTTCCACCAGGGACACCTTCCACCATCCCAGGTTGTTCCAAGTCCTGTCCAACCTGGCCTTGGACACTCCCAGGGATGGGGCATCCATGGAATAACCCGTGCCAGGGCCTCACCACCCTCTCAGGGAAGGATTTCTTCCTTAATATCCAACCTAAATTCCCCCTCTCTCAGTTTGTGCCCATTCCCCTTGTGCTGTCACCCCAGTTCCTGAGGAACAGTCCCCTCCAGCTTCCCTGGAGCCCCTTCAGACCCTGGAAGGTGCTGTGAGATCTCCACACAAGGTTCTCTTCTCCAGGCTGAACAGTCCCAACTTTCCCAGTCTCCATCCATAGGGGAGGGGCTCCAGTTCCCTTATTGGCTTCGTGGCCTCCTCTGGATCTGCTCCAGCAGTTCCGTGTCCTTCTTGTGTTGGGGGCAGCAGAACTGGATCAGAACTTCCTCCTCTGAGCTCAGAGCCTTCCACTCCTGAGAGACTCCCCTGCCCTGCAGGGATGTGTTGGGTGCTGTGTGTACACACTGCCCTTCCAAAATGGAACATCCATTTATCGGGATGTTCCCAGCAGGCTTTGGGAAGGTGACGGGCGTCGCAATTTGTGCAGAATAAATAAATTTCAGATTTGTTTGGGTCAGAACTGGAAATAACTGCGGGTTTGAGCTGCTCCACGTGTGTCCCTGTGCAAACAGGAGACTGATTTGACTTGTTTTATTTCACTTTCCTTATTTTTCTGGCTGTCAGTGGTCAGCTGGGAGGAGAAGCTGTTGCTGCAGGGGCTGGGGGTGTCCTGGGACACGGCCCTGCTCAGCTGCTGCTCAGCACATGTGAGCTCAAGTGCTCTCACACTATAAATAGCCCAGTGCATTGTTGTCAGTGGGTTTTTATTAACAAACAGCAACAGTATTTTTGGAGAATGTTTAGAATTGGGGGGAGGGGGCAGAATAAATGGGTTGTATTTCGGGGCTGGCAGCGAGTTTGGGTTTCGTTAACGTCAGAAAAGCTTCAACGTGTCTACTGGTTTAAAATTTTGCTTTAAGTATTAGTAATTTATCAATATTGCCAATATTTGCATAATCCATATATTGTAATATTTACAATATTTTATTATTGGATCTATTATTCCTAATTTTATTTAAATTGATAGGTTGGTGAAGCTGTGCTCATACAGTTACCCTGTTACTGGAGCAGGTATTAATCATCTCAACATCAAAAGATACCGTGTTACTCAGAGAGATACTTTGTGCTCTGTTCCTAAAGACTCTTTTGTTGTTCTTTTGACTCCTAGGACCCTTCAAAGTCCTACAAGAAAGCTGGAGAAGTGGCACCGGTTGAGTTACACGCAGAAGAAGGTGTCCAAGTAGAAACAACCCCTTTATCCAAGAAAGTTTCCCCGTTGCACTCAGAAATGACGGATTACATGAAGTCATCTCCTCCCACCCTGATCAGCAGCCATAATTCCGATTTAAAGGACAGAACAGAAATCAACGGAGCAACAACTGTCACAGAGAAGCTGGCTCAGCTCATTGCAACCTGTCCTCCCTCCAAGTCTTCCAAAACAAAGCAGAAGAAGCCCGGGAACGGAAGCGCGTCCGGTTTGGTGAAAGACTCTGGGAAGAAGCCGCCAGGAACCATCAATCCGAGCGGGATGGTTGGTAAAGATTTGGTGAAGAAGCTGCCGGGCTCTGGGATCGCCGTGGGGCTGGTGAACAAGGACTCAGGGAAGAAGCCATTGGGGATTGGCAGCACAGCCATACTGGTGAACAAAGACTCTGGGAAGAAGCCCCAAGGGATCGGCCCCTTGATTGGATTGGTGAGCAAGGACTCTGGCAAGAGGCCCCCAGGGATCAGCTCTCCCCCCGGGATGGTGCACAAGGACTCTGGGAAGAAGCAGCCGGTGACCAGCTCTGCAGTTGGATTGATCAGCAAAGATGTGGGGAGGAAACTTCCAGGGATCAGCACTCCAGCTGGATTGACTACCAAGGAGCCTCTCAAGAAGCCAGTAGGGATCAGCACTCCAGCAGGGTTGGTTAACAAGGACGCTGGGAAGAAGCTGTTGGGGGTAACTAGTCCTGCAGGTCTGCTCAACAAGGATTCTGGGAGGAAGATGCCGGGGACCGGGAACGCGACGGTTCTGAGTAACAAAGACTCTGGAAGGAAGACGCCGGGGATTGGCAGCCCGGTGGGACCAGTTAGCAAGGACTCTGGGAGGAAGGTGCCAGGAATTAGCAGTCCGGTGGGATTGGTTAGCAAGGAGTGTGGGAAGAAGCCGGCAGGGATTGGCAGCCCGGCTGGTTTGGCCAGCAAGGACTCTGGGACGCTGAAGGCAGATTCCCTCACACCCACCTCGGAGCCCTTTAAGCTTCCTTGCAATTCCAACCTCAGCAGCCTGGAAAGCCACGAGCCCGCGGATTTACTGAAGGAAAACCCTACCAGCAAACCCTTTGAGAAGCACGTCGTGAGGCAGAACAAGGAGAGCATCCTGGAGAAGTTTTCCATTCGGAAGGAGATCGCCGAGGTGGGCAAGGAGATGTTCAACGAGGGGATGTGTGTTCCCCAGGACGCCTTCTCCTCCGGCGAGAAGGGGGGTTATGAAGCATCCAAGCACGAGAAGCAGCCCCCAGTGTATTGCACTTCACCAGACTTCAGGACAGGAGGTGCCTCGGAGGTGTCGACAGCCAAGTCCCCGTTCAGTGCAGTGGGAGAGGGGAATCTCCCCTCCCCTTCCCCCACCGTGTCTGTCCCCACCCTGAGCAGGAGCCTCTCAGCATCCTCCTCCCAGCTGCCATCCAACTCATTGCACTTAAGCTCCACGGCAGAGCTCCTGGAAGGCATCTCTGATCCCGTGGGCAAGACTCCCTTTTCCTCTGACAGCATCCTGGGTCTGAGCAGGACCCTGAACCACCCCCTCGGCACCGATTTTAAAGGTGCTGACAAAGACTTGAGCGATTCAAAGGCTTCTTACGTGGAGACTTCCAGAACCAGTCCTTCCACGGGGAAAAAGCCCATTCTGGCAGCTGAAACGAGCATCCACGCCACTGTCACTCCTTCCGTGGTCAGTTTTACCAGCTTGTTCAGCAGCAAGCAGTTCCTGAAGATCGGGGCGATCGCTGCATCCGATAAATCCTGCCAAGGAGCGAAGAACCTGAGCAGCACTCAGCAGTCGAAGCCTCTGAAGAAGAGAAAAGGAAGGAAGCCCCGATGGACTAAAGTGGTGTCGAGGAACACGTGTCGACCTCCGAAGGGTCTGGAGCTGGAAAGGTCGGAGCTTTTTAAAAACATTTCCTACAGTGCACTGTCGAGCAGCAATTTGGAGCAGGCCAAGTTCCTGAAGAACATCGGGTCGTCCTCGTTCGTGGAGCACGAGTTCGTCAAGCACCAGTTGCCGAAGCTGAACGAAGCCAATGGCCAGTCCCTGGCACTGCTGGCCGAGACTGACAAACCAACCCAGAAGTTCTACAGCGCCCACAAACAACCCTCGAGCTTGTGTATGGCAGATGATTTCTTGCCTGACATGTACAAACCCAAAAGAGGAAGATCTAAACCCAAGGAGATGCCAGAGCTCGAAGGTCCCCCCAAAAGGACTCTAAAGATTCCGGCGTCAAAAGTCTTCTCGGTGCAGTCGAAAGAAGAGCAAGAGCCTCCCATTTTGCAGCCTGAGGTTGAAATTCCCTCCCTGAAGCAGAGCTTATCGGGACAACCTTTTCCTAAAAAGAGAGGGAGACCTAAAAGACAGATCAGGTCATCGATTAAAACGAAACCACCTATTCTGTCCGTGGCACCTTTTGTTGGAACAGAGAACTCGAGCAAGATGGGGCCTGAAAGTGAGCAGCATCGACCCGGGGAGTTCTTTGAGAGAAAGGACCAGCTCCGAGGGCCTGAAGAGGTCCAAAGCCCCAGTATTTGCAGCATGAGTGATTTGGAAGTAGACTCAGACAGAAAAGTTGCCAAGAGAAATAACGGACAGTTAATGAAAACAATTATTCGAAAAATAAATAAAATGAAAACTCTGAAGCGAAAGAAACTCCTGAATCAGATCCTGTCCAGTACAGTGGAACCAAATACCAAAGGGAAGATGCAATCCAAGCTCCACAACACGGTGTCGACTCTCGCCGCCACGTTCGGTTCGAAGCTGGGCCAGCAAATCAACGTCAGCAAGAAAGGAACGATTTACATAGGAAAGAGGAGAGGGAGGAAGCCCAAAGCGGTCCTGAACGGCCTCCTGGCCAGCAGCGCCGCCGGCCTGACCGTGCTGGAGAAGTCTGCCCAGCAAGCTCCCGGTACGTCCCTGGGCCAGGTCCTGCCCCACCTGCTGCCTCCCGCGGGGAACCCCTCGGAGGTGCTCCCGTCTCCGGTTTGCTCCCAGTCGTCGGCCGTGAGCGGGGGGCAGAGCCCGGTGAGCAGCGACGCGGGGTTCATTGAGCCCAGCCCCGTGCCCTACCTGCACCTCCACGCGCGGCAGGGCGGCGTGGTGCAGACCCTGGCCATGAAGAAGGCGGCCAAGGGCAGGAGGAGGCTGTCGCCGCCCACGCTGCTGCCCAACTCGCCCTCCCACCTGAGCGAGCTGACCTCGCTCAAAGAGGCCACGCCGTCCCCCGTGAGCGAGTCCCACAGCGACGAGACCATCCCCAGCGACAGCGGCATCGGGACGGACAACAACAGCACCTCGGACCGGGCGGAGAAGTTCTGCGGGCAGAAGAAGAAGAGGCACTCCTTCGACCACGTGTCCCTGCTCCCGCCCGAGACCTCCACCGTGCTCGGCAACCTGAAGGAGAAGCACAAGCACAAGTGCAAGCGCCGCAGCCACGATTACCTCAGCTACGACAAGATGAAGAGGCAGAAGAGGAAAAGGAAAAAGAAGTACCCTCAGCTCCGGGGGAGGCAGGACCCCGATTTCCTCGCCGAGTTGGAGGAGTTAATAAGCCGGTTAAGTGAAATTCGGATAACCCACCGGAGTCACCATTTTATACCCCGGGATTTGCTGCCCACCATTTTTAGGATAAACTTCAACAGTTTCTACACCCACCCTACTTTTCCTTTAGATCCTTTGCACTACATTAGGAAACCTGATTTAAAGAAAAAGAGAGGCAGGCCTCCAAAAATGCGGGAAGCTATGGCAGAAATGCCCTTCATGCATAGCCTCAGCTTTCCCCTCTCCAGCACCGGGTTCTACCCCTCCTATGGCATGCCTTACTCCCCGTCCCCCCTGGCAGCTGCTCCCATAGGATTAGGTTATTATGGAAGGTACCCTCCGACTCTTTACCCTCCTCCACCCTCTCCTTCTTTCACCACCCCCCTGCCGCCACCTTCCTACATGCATACAGGCCACTTGCTTCTCAACCCCACCAAATACCACAAGAAGAAGCATAAACTCTTGCGCCAGGAAGCTTTCCTCACCACGAGCAGGACCCCCCTGCTGTCCATGAGCACCTACCCCAGCGTTCCACCCGAGATGGCCTACGGCTGGATGCTGGAGCACAAGCACAGGCACCGCCACAAGCACCGGGAGCACCGTTCCTCGGAGCAGCCGCAGGTTTCCATGGACACTATCACGGCCAACAGCTCCTCCAGAACGGTTCTGGAGTCCTTGAAGCGCTACAGGTTTGGGAAGGAGGCCGTGGGAGAGAGGTACAAACACAAAGAGAAGCACAGGTGCCACATGTCGTGCCCCCACCTGTCGCCTTCCAAGGGTTTGCTGAGCAGAGACGAGCAGTGGGTCAGGAGGGAGCCTTCGGAGTCGAATTCCTTGGCGCTGGGCCTGCAGACCCCGCTGCAGATCGACTGCTCCGAGAGCTCCCCGGCCCTGTCCCTGGGGGGGTTCACCCCCGGCTCGGAGCCCGCCGGCGCCGAGGAGCACACGAACCTTTTCACAAGTGCAATAGGCAGCTGCCGAGCGCCCGGCCCCGCCGGCCCCGCCGCGCGCAAGAAGCTGCCCGAGAGCCCCGGGCTGTTCAGCGCCCAGGACGCGCCGCTGCCCCGGCCCCTGCGCAAGGAGCCCTCCCTGGAGAAGGCCCTGCAGCCCCTCTCAGGTAAGGGAGCCCCGGGCCTGCTCTCCTGGGTTCTGTCACACCAAACACGGGGGCAGGTGGAGCTTTGGCTCTGCGGGGATCTGTGGAGGGTTCCTGCTCGTGGCAGGACAGGCTGGCGTGGGATCTCCCCCAGAGCCACCCGGGGCACCCTGTGTGTGTGTGTGTGTCCCTCTTCCCAGCAGAGTCCTCTTGCTTCCTTGCACTCGGGCTGAGGATGCTTTCTCATGGAAAGCTCTTCGCTTTTTCCATAATATTTTAACTTCCTGGAGAAACGAGGTGAAATTTCTCCTGATTTTTTGATACTTGGAAGCCCTGTTTCTGCTTGGTTTGGAGTTTGGTGGGTTTGGTTTAGACCAGCTGTTGGTGCTACTGTTGTAGCATTTCCATCTGAGAAAATGTTTCCTCTTCCTTTTGGTAACTCTGTTTTAGTTACTTTGATAATCTGCTACAACAGAGCTTTGGAGCTCCTGGGGATGATCCTGGGGATGCCTGAGACCAAACCTTGAAATTTTGGATTTATTCATGGTTTGGAAATGCTTCAAGCAAAACTGAGGCAGGAGCAGCTGAGTGTGTGTGGCCAACAAGAGCAGCAGTGCTGCTGTCAGAGGGCACCTCCCCTCAAAACCCTGAACTTTGCATAATATTAGAGGGGGGAAAATCTCATGTGAAATGTAGGACTTCAGGAAACTATTCCTGCTTTCCCTGCTGGCCTAAGTGTCACTCAGTGCTGCACTTGCTTAATACAGATGTTTTTGGGAATAATTTTCACGCTTTATCCTAATTACCATGGATGTGTCAACCAGGCCATGGAACAGATAACCTGGGAAGGACAAGTGTGGCCCGTGCTCCTGCCTGTTTCTGATGTCTGAAGGAAGTCTGAGCTGCTTCTCCCTCCCCTCCTTGCCTGTATTCTCCCTCGAAATTTAAATCACTGTCCAAACCCACTTGTGACTGATGTTTCACAGACCAGGAACCAGCTACCAGCACTGAATAATCCCTCCTCACATTCCTGACTCTCCTCTTGCTCCTTCCCTTGTAGCGTTCCCACTTGAATGCCTCCTGCCCACCTGTGTGTGGAGGGGGTTTTTCCTCTTGGTTTTAGTTTGGCTTTTGAGGGGTTTATGTTTTATTTTAAGGGATGCAGCTGCATCTTGGACAAGTTCATTTTGCTTTGTTCTGTTTCCTGGCACTGAAGCTCCTCGAGGTGGTGGTGGGAGTGTGGAGAAGGCAACAGAGCCATGAGAGGATGGAAGGAGAAATTCCAAGTGCTGGGTCACCAAAAGGGTTAAATTTGGCTCCAAGGAGTGAATTGTTTGTGGGAGCTTGTGCAGTTCTGGGAATTTCCTGAGGATTTCCATTGGGGTGGATGGTCTGACTCGGGTTTGTGTGAGGAACGACCCAAGGAAGGGGAGAGCAGAGGTGCTTCTTGGTGAAGGCTCTGCCCACTCCCTGTCCCAGGATGTCTGACATTCCTCAGGTGCCAGGTATCACTTCCAGCCAGTGCATTCCCACCCTGGAACCCGGCTGGCTTTGCTGTGAGGCTGGTTCTGGCTCATTCCCAAGGATTTCCCAACGTGCAGGCTTGGAAAACTTAAACCACCTCTGGTAAAAGGCCCCAGGAAAGAGAAAGGCCGGGTTTGGGGTGTTTGTTTTGAGCCGAGGTGCTGAGTGGTGATCCTGAATCCATGACCGTGGAACATAAAAGGAAAGGCACAGATGGAGGGAAAACCCGTGGTGCATCCCAGATTGGTTATTTATAGAACCAGCTGCAGGTGCACAGTGGGGAGATGCTGGATCAGAGCCCTGGAACGGGCAGACAGGGATCCCATCGGGGAGCCCTTCCCGAGCGGGTCTGTGGGATCCACAGAGGATATTCATGGTGCTTTAGTTCAGAGTATCCCACATGAAAACCTGCCTCATCTCCAGAGCCTTTTGAACATCAGCCTGGCCTGGCTGGGTGAGCACATTCTTTTTATGATGTTGGCTGATGCCAGATATCCTCAGATGGGCCGTGTTAGAGATGAGTCGGGTCAGTTGTTTGGGCAATCAGCAGAGGTTGGAGTGTCCTGGGAGGTGAAGTGCAGGGGGAAGTTTCCACCTAAGGGCTGTTGTGTGGCCCTGGCACAGCCACACGGACACAGGTCACCAGGCTCTGCCCTTTTGTAGGACGCTGTAGGACACTGTTCATCCCAAGTTCCCAGTTGAACTTCTGCAGCTGCACACCAGGAGTTGTTTCAGCCGAGTGATGGTGTGTTGTGAGCTGGCCCTGGTGTACCCCTTCTGATTCCTGGGGCCTCAGTGTGTGCCCTGGTGTGCCCCTCATGTTTCCAGTGGCCTTGCCTGTGCCCTGGTGTGCCCCTCATGATTCCCGTGACCTCGGTGTGCCCTGGTGTGCCCCTCATGATTCCTGTGACCTCGGTGTGCCCTGATGTGCCCCTCATGATTCCTGTGGCCTTACCTGTGCCCTGGTGTGCCCCTCCTGATTCCAGTGTGTGCCACTCACACTCCTGGCAGGAAAGGCTGAGGGCAGTGGGATGAGCGGCGTGCTGGGGATGGTGCAGGTGAACGGGCTGTGTGGCTTCCATCCATCCCCTCTGCAGACACCGGGCCAGGACTGAGGGGAGACATCCCGGGCTGGGGCGGGTACAGGTGCCCTTGGGGCAGTTCCCGTGGGATAACCGGCACTGTCGGGAACCGCCGGGATTGGACACGACCCTGTGGGGTCTCGGGGTGAACCCGGCCGGCCCAGGTGGTGCTGGGTCCCTGTCCTGAGGGGTCCCAGTGGTCCCTGTCCCGGTGGTCCCTGTCCTGAGGGGTCCCTGTCCCAAGGGATCCCAGTGGTCCCTGTCCCGAGGGGTCCCGGCGGTCCCTGTCCTGAGGGGTCCCGGTGGTCCCAGTTATGGTGGTCCCTGTTCTGGGGGTTCCCAGTGTCCCTGTTCCAAGGAGTCCCAGTGGTCCCTGTCCTGAGGGGTCCCTGTCCCAAGGGATCCCAGTGGTCCCTGTCCTGAGGGGTCCTGGTGGTCCCAGTTCTGGTGGTCCCTGTTCCAGGAGGTCCTGATGGTCCCTGTCCCAAGGGATCTCAGTGTCCCTGTCCCAAGGAGTCCCAGTGTCCCTGTCCCTGTGGTCCCTGTCCCAGGGGGTCCTGGTGTCCCTGTCCCAGAGAGTCCTGGTGGTCCCTGTCCCGGTGTCCCTGTCCCGGGGGGTTCCAATGTCCCTGTCCCAGGGGGTCCTGGTGTCCCTGTCCTGGTGGTCCTTGTCCCGAGGGGTCCCTGTATCCCTGTCCCAGGGGGTCCCAGTGTCCCTGTCCCAGTGTCCCTGTCCTGGTGTCCCTTGCCCCAGAGGGTCCCGGTATCCTTGTCCCGGTGTCCCTATTCTGGTGTCCCTGTCCCGGTATCCCTGTCCTGGGGGGTTCTGGTGTCCCTGTCCCAGTGTCCTTGTCCCAGGGCGTCCCAGTGTCCCTATCCCTGTCCCAGGGGGTCCCAGTGGTCCCTGTCCCGGTGTCCCTGTCCCGGTGGTCCCTGTCCCAGTGTCCCTGTCCCAGGGAGTCCTAGTGGTCCCTGTCCCAGTGTCCCTGTCCTGGTGGTTCCTGTCCCGGAGGGTCCCGGTGGTCCCTGTCCTGGTGGTCCCTTGCCCCAGGGGGTTCTGGTGTCCCTGCCCCGGGGGGTTCCAATGTCCCTGTCCCAGTGTCCCTGTCCCAGGGGATTCCGGTGTCCCTGTCCCGGGGGGTCCTGGTGTCCCTGTGTCTCTGTCCCAAGGGATCCCGGTATCCCTGTCCCAGTATCCCTGTCCCGGGGGGTTCCGGTGTCCCTGTCCGGATGTCGCTGTCCTGGTATCCCTATCCCAGTGTCCCTGTCCCGGTGTCCCTGTCCCGGTGTCCCGGTATCCCTATCCCAGTGTCCCTGTCCCGGTATCCCTGTCTCGGTGTCCCGGTATCCCTATCCCGGTGTCCCTGTCCCGGTATCCCTGTCCCGGTGTCCCGGTATCCCTATCCCAGTGTCCCTGTCCCGGTATCCCTGTCCCAAGGGATCCTGGTATCCCTATCCCAGTGTCCCTGTCCCAGTATCCCTGTCCCGGGGGGTCCCGGTGTCCCTGTCCGGATGTCACTGTCCCGGTGTCCCTGTCCCGGTGTCCCTATCCCGGTATCCCAAGGGGTCCCGGTGTCCCTGTCCCGGTATCCCAAGGGGTCCCGGTGTCCCTGTCCCGGTGTCCCATTCCCGTTCCCATTCCCGTTCCCATTCCCATTCCCGTTCCCGTTCCCTCCCCCGGGACCGGCGGGAAGCAGCGCCCCCTGCCGGCCCCGCCGCTCCCGGGCCGCGCCCCGCTCGGTGCGGGGGACACGGGGCGGGTCGGGGGGTCCGCGGGGACCGCGACATTCCCGGGCTGGGCCACCCCCGGGCTGGGCCACCCCCGGACTGTGCCACCCCCGGCCGGCAGCACCGCGGCCTCCAGAGCCTTCTCCCTCTTTTTATTCCCGGTTGGGAATTACAGCCCGGTCCTGCTCCGGGCACTTATTCCCGCTGTTTGATTTTCTTTAGTCCCGGCTCCCGGGGTCCTTGTTTAGTCTGCCCTTTATGGAATCAGTGGATCCTGGAGCTCCTTAGGAGGGAAATTCCCTCTGGGATGATCCTGCTCGTGGCAGCCCTGGCAGCCCAGCACCCTGCAGCCCCCCCAGCCTGGAGGGGTGGGCAGGGGCCTTGGAGTGAGGTGAAACTCGGGGGTTAAGAGCTCTTTAATAATTGAAATAAAGTTAATAATAATAATAATAATAACAGGAACCTTGTGATGGTGCCCTTGTTGAGAAGAAATAATGGAACAGGAGACCATCCCTCTGCCCTGTCGAGGAGTTGGAATCCTTGGAAAAAAGTGCTGTTGTTCATTCCCTCCACCAATGGAGCCCCTCACCAGGAGCTGAGAGTGCCCAGGATCGCAAAAATTCCCAACTTTGAGGCAAGAGAGGATCTCAAAGGAGATTTCCCCAGAGATTCTGGTGAATCAGTTTGGTGCATTCAGGGATTCTGCCATCGCTGCCCACCCTCAGGGTCTCTCTTGGGGTGTTGAAGCCATGGACATGGGCAGGGAATTTCAGGATTCCTTGCCCTGACAGGAATTTCAGGGGAATCTCAGGCCTTGAGTTTGGGCAGAACTTCAGTGTCCCCCTGTCTCCTTTTGGTGGAGTTTGGGAGGGAGGAGCTCGGAACCAAACAGGCAGCACTGAGCTCGTTCATCATGAGCCGTGTCCTGAAGGGGAACAACAAAACTCTGTCCTGTTGTGTCCTGGATTTGGTGACTCCTGGATGTTTGCAGGACCTGCACATTCTCCTCACGTGCTGCCACGTGCCTTTGTGCTTCCCCTGGGGTTTCATGCAAACCTCTGAATTTTTAATGTCTCGGCATTTTCATAATTGCAACACACGGGTTTTTTCCGTGGCATTTTAACAACTCCCACAGCCTTTGCTTTCGAGAGTAATCGGGATTCTTTAAAGCTTAGGAAAACACAACAAGTTACAGTGAGAAAATGTTGATGTGTAAGAAGGGGGACAGGGATAGGTCTTTGCTCAAAGCTGCCCTGACCAGCCTTGTCCCCTCACCCTGCAGCAGTCGAGGGGCTTCTGTAGCTCTCTAAAAATGGGTTTAACTCAAATAATGGTAACTGTGCTTCCTGCTGCCCGATGGCATCATCCAGGGATTTAGCAAGTAACAGCAAGCCCTGTGCAGTCAGAACACAGAGGGAAACGTGTTTTGCAGGTGCCTCAAATGCAGTGCTGGTGTGTGTGCAGATAGTCATCATCCTCACTTGTTTAGGCCCTGGGGCTTTCACAGCTCTGCTGTGATGCACTGACACAGAAATATTTGGGGTTTTTACCTGAAACAGGAATATTTGGGGGGTTTTATGTGTTGGGATCTCGAGGAGGAAAAGCAGCAATAACAAGGGACAAATCTAAAGAATTTTCAAATTTAAAAAATTTTAAAAGCATCGTGAGCTGGGTTTTGGAGAGCACCTCCAGCAGGTCAAGGGGGATGTTATTCCCACTGCTCTGCCCTGGAGAGGCCACATCTGGAATGGCTCTGGAATCCCCAGTCCAAGAGAGGCGTGGAAATACTGCAGTGAGTCTGGTGAAGAGCCACAGAGACAACCAGGGGATCGGAGCCTGTGTCATCCAGGAAGGCTGGGAGAGCTGGGATAGATCATCAGAGAGCTGGGAGAGCTGGGATTGGTCATCAGAGAGCTGGGAGAGCTGGGATCATTTATCCAGAGAGGCTGGGAGAGCTGGGATAGATCATCAGAGAGCTGGGAGAGCTGGGATTCATCATCAGAGAGCTGGGAGAGCTGGGATCGATCATCAGAGAGCTGGGAGAGCTGGGATCATTTATCTAGAGAGGCTGGGAGAGCTGGGATCGATCATCAGAGAGCTGGGAGAGCTGGGATTCATCATCAGAGAGCTGGGAGAGTTGGGATCATTTATACAGAAAGCTGGGAGAGCAGGGATCATTCATTGAGAGAGACTGGGAGAGCTGGGATCATTTATCTAGAGAGCTGGGAGAGCAGGAGTTGGTCATCAGAGAGCTGGGAGAGCTGGGATCATTTCTCCAGAGAGGCTGGGAGAGCTGGGATTCATCATCAGAGAGCTGGGAGAGCTGGGATCATTTCTCCAGAGAGGCTGGGAGAGCTGGGATTCATCATCAGAGAGCTGTGATTATTTATCTAGAGAGCTGGGAGAGCTGGGATCATTTCTTCAGAGAGCTAGGAGAGCTGGGATCATTCATCCAGAGAGGCTGGAAGAGTTGGGATCATTTATCCAGAGAGGCTGGGAGAGCTGGGATCATTCATTGAGAGAGGCTGGGAGAGTTGGGATCATTTATCCAGGGAGCTGGGAGAGCTGGGATCATTCATCCAGAGAGCTGGGAGAGCTGGGATCATTCATCCAGAGAGCTGGGAGAGTTGGGATCATTCATCCAGAGAGGCTGGGAGAGCTGGGATTGGTCATCAGAGAGGCTGGGAGAGCTGGGATCATTCATCCAGAGAGCTGGGAGAGCTGGGATCATTTATCCAGAGAGCTGGGAGAGCTGGGATCATTCACTGAGAGAGGCTGGGAGAGCTGGGATCATTCATCCAGAGAGCTGGGAGAGCTGGGATTGGTCATCAGAGAGCTGGGAGAGCTGGGATCATTTATCCAGAGAGCTGGGAGAGTTGGGATCATTTATCCAGAGAGGTGGGAGAGCTGGGATCATTTATCCAGAGAGGCTGGGAGAGCTGGGATCATTCATCCAGAGAGGTGGGAGAGCTGGGATCATTCATCCAGAGAGGCTGGGAGAGTTGGGATCATTCATCCAGAGAGCTGGGAGAGTTGGGATCATTCATCCAGAGAGTCTGGGAGAGCTGGGATCATTCATCCAGAGAGCTGGGAGAGCTGGGATTTGAGGCTGGGAGAGCTGGGATCGGCCAGCCTGGAACAGAGGATGCAGAGGGAGCTCTTCCCAGTGTGTCCATGTGCTGGATGGGAGGGAACTAAGAAGAAGGAGCCACACTGGTGCTGGTGGTACCCAGTGGCAGGAGAGGGGCACAGGGAACGGGATGAAGTTCAGGGAATTCTGTTGGCACAGAAGAGAACAGTGTTCACAGTGAGGGTGAGGGTTGTGGAATCCCTTGGAGATGTGGGAAACCCCACGTGGTGGCCCTGAGCAACCTGCTCCAGCTGACCCTGCTTTGAGCAGAGTGGTTGGCATAGATAATCCACAGGGTTCCTTTCCAAACTCTTCCCTGAAAATCAAGGAATGAAGCCATGGGGTTCATTTGAAAGTAGGGGTAGGAGGGTTTTCTCTTTTCTTTCCTATAAAAACCCATGCTGAAGTTATTACCTGGTTTTACTCATGGCTTGTTCACTGCCCTGCCTGTTCCATCAGCCTGTGAGGAATTCCTTCTTGGTGTCCCTTTTCCACCCTTCCCCTGCATTCAGCAGGCACAGAAGTGTTCCCAAAGCCAAACCAGAGCCAGTTGGAATATTGAGCATTGGGCTGGTGCTGCCAGAGTGAGCTGATGGTTCCTGTGCTTCTCCCCCCTCTGTCCCTCAGGCACTTTGCCAGCCCAGGACAAACCCTCGCAGAGGCCGTCGGAGAGCACGAACTGCAGCCCCTCCAGGAAGAGATCCACGTCGGAGAGCACGTCTCCCCCAGGCAAGTCGTGCTCAGGGGCCTTGGTCTGGGAGCAGTGCTGAGCTCAGACCTCACTGGGACCTCACTGGGACCGGCGCAGCATCACTGGGAGGACTTCAGCTCGTGGAGAGAACGGGGTTTTCCACTGGTATTTTGGGATCCAAGTGCTGTGGATTGGGTGTAGAACAGGGAGACTTGAGAAGAGGCAGCACAGCTACGGCAGGGAGAGGTTTGGCTCCTCACCAGGGTGAGTTAGGCCTTGTGAAGCTCAGGGCTTTAATGTTCTCAGGACCTGTGACATTGCAATTAATCCATGACTTAGAGGAATGAATGAATTCCTGAGGAAGAGCCTGACTCCTGTGCTGCTCTGGAGGGTTTCTGCCCTGGCAGGGTCAGGGCTGTGCTGTTGGGTTTTCCTCCTCCCAGGTGGGAATCCTGCCAAGGCGATGGAGGATGACACACTGCTCATCCCATTATCACTGATGATACAGCTGTGCACGCCCCCAGGCAGGTCAGGAATGATCCTGGGAGAGGGATGGAAGTGCTGACAGGAGCTCTGGTAGCACCTCATCAGGTCCCTCAAGTGAGGATGAGTGTGGGGTGCACAGTCCTGGGGCAGCGGAGCAGATTTGTGCAGCAGGACTGGAACAGCTTCCTCGGCCCTGGGATGACATTCCCTGCACGTCACTGCTTGAGGATCGTGAGGAAGGGAAAGGTTCTCCCTCCTGATGGGTCAATGGAGCTGGGGAAGGGGCTGGAGCACCAGGAGCAGCTGAGGGATCTGGGGGGGCTCAGCCTGGAGAAAAGGAGGCTCAGGGGGGACCTTCTGGCTCTGCAAGTCCCTGCCAGGAGGGGGGAGCTGGGGGAGTTCGGGCTCTGCTCCCAGGAAACAAGGGATGGGATGAGAGGGAACGGCCTCAAGCTGTGCCAGGGGAGGGGCAGGTTGGACATGAGGAGGAATTTCTTGCTGGAAATGGTTGTTAAGGATTGGAATGGGCTCCTGGGAGGTTTTGAATCTCCACCCCTGGATGTGTCCAAGGAAGGAGTGGAAGTGGCACTGAGTGCTCTGGGCTGGGGGACAAGGTGGGGATGGGACAAAGATTGGACTGGATGGTCTTGGGGGTCTTGTCCAACGTTAACAGTTCCATGAATCTGTGATTCTGTGTATTTGGGCTCACTTTTGTAAGGAGCTCACCTGTGTGTGGAGGTGTCTGTGTTCCTGGCAGTCACATTTTCACCCCTGGGACAATGTCGGATTTATGGACCAAGCTGTGACAGGGAAGATCTGAAAACCTTCATTTCCTGCATGTTACCACCCACCTGTGAAATGTGTGATGAACCAGCCCCTGACAGGAAAGACTGGCGAGATTCCACTCCTTCCATGGGCAGGGGGTGGGATGAGAACACAGAATCCCAGAATATGCTGAGTTGGAAGGGACCCATAAGGATCATCAGGTCCAACCCTTAGCCCTGCACAGGACCATCCCCGAGAGTTGAGGTCCCTTCCAACCCAAACTGTTCTGGGATTCTGTAAAGATGGAATGGGAGCTTCCCTGAGGTTGGACAGAGGGACATCCAGCGTGTTGACCCATTTTGTAAGAAGCCCAGTTGTAGAAACACTCCTGATTGCAGAATTCAGACATCCTTAGACACCCAAAGTGACTGCAAAATGTGGGGAACTCTTGGGATTGGTACTTCCAGGACAGTTGGGATTTCCATCTAGCAAGAATATGCCAAAACTGTTTCCTCCCCCCTTTAAGCAGATGTTTGCAACCGGTGCTGCATTCAGTACAGGCTGCAAACTCCTCAGCAGTGGGGAAGGGATCTCCCCTTTTCCTCTGGCTCATCCACCTTCTTCTCACTCCCTGGAAAGGGGAGCTGCCTCAGTGTAACTCTGGGAATGGGAAGTGTTAAAAGCTCGGGAGTGTTCTGTGCAGGAGCATTGGAATGACATGAATCACAAGTTTCTCAGCTCCAGAGTGGATGATGCAGCTGAAAGGACCGACCATTGTTGTGTTTTCCGTGGGTCTGGAATGCGTGTGGGATTTCAGGGTGTTTGTCAGAGGGCTGCAGCTGGCCCTGGGATCGGAGCCTGGAGTGTCCCATCCCTCTGGAGCCGTTCCCAAGCAGCAGCTCTGCTTCCAGGACACCCAGCAGGCCGGGTGGGGGTTGCTGTGCTGGCAGGTGGGTTCTGTGAGGAGCCCCCACGTGCCTCTAAAGGCCACGAGAAAGCAAAGGGTGATTTAACTTGGTTATTCCATCTGAAATGGAAAGCTGGAAGTGTAAATCTGGGTTGTTTTGGAGCTGTTGGGGCTGTGCAGGTGCTCACAGTCAGCTCACAGGAGGCCTCTCTTGTCCTTTGTCACCGGGAGGGACGTTGGGCAGAGGGGGATATTTGAAACGTGCTTTGCTCTTCCTCCCCCAAACTCTCTGAAGCACCTTCTCTTCTGCACTTAAAATCCCTGGCTTTGGAATCACAGTGAGGATTCCATTTCTCCAGAGCAGCACCCTGGGACCAGCGAGCCCTGGGGCTGGAAAACATTTAAACTGGTTGTGCTTTGTCTCTGTCAACTCACAAATAACCTCCCTTCTGTCAAAGGTAGAACCCTTCCTACACCACCTTGTGCTCTTCCCTGTGACAGTTCCCTGGACACCAGACTGCTCAGGCTCCAGCCTGGGCTAAGCAGATCTGATCTGAATAATTGGCCACAATTACTGCAACGTTCTGTCAGTGCTAATGTGCAGTTGTGATGTATTTATGAGGAGGCAGCATCCATTTCATTCCAGGAAGAGCAGGGTTTCTTCTGCTGGAATGTTATCACTGAGGAGCAGCAGGGCAGCTTTGGGAAGCTCTGGGTTTGGAACAAATCCCTTTTTTAATGCGGCATAATCTACATGGTTGACCTGGAAATTCTCCTTTTCAAACACCAGTGTGCAGCTCTAAAGCATATAACAGTTTTAAAAGTGAGATCTAAATTTACTTCCTTCGTAGATTAACCTTTCTCTTCTGTCCAGATATTTTGATTGACCTTTATCCAATCAGTTCTCATTAGGCTTGTATTTTTGATAAAAAACCTGCAACAGCAATGAAAAAGTTGTTTCAGTGCTTCCAAACCGTAAAAAAACCCCAACAAAACAAAACAGGAAAAGTGGTTTAAAAACATTTAAGATGTTCCTCAGTTTTTATCAGAGT